GGGTGGCCCCACGTGGGCGGGAAGCGGCAGCTCTGGGGCACCCCCCCGCCGCATTGCAACAGGAGGAAATCTGCTGGAAGGGTGCACACGTCGAGACTGAAATCTAGCGGGTTTTCACGGGGGGGGGGCGGCGGTATGCCAAAAGTGAACTGATGGATCCTTTCAAATGAAGGAGGGGGGAGGAATGAGCCCAGTGGTAGACCCCTTGGAGTGTTGCGTTAAAAGCATTAATGAAACAAAATACTAGATTTAATGGGCAGGTTACACAACCCAAGGGATAACTGGTCCTCCTGCCAAAATGTTTTAATTGGGGGGGGGGGTGGAAAGATCCGGCATCTAGCTAGAGTTGAATAGTTTATTCATACATTACAAATTGTTTTACAGAAATGGAAGAAAATAGACTGTACATTGCCGGGTAAAAACGAGATCCCTTATGTTACATACACCACAAATTCATTTGATTTGATCTGAAAGCAAACGCAGCATGGCTCGAAACAACCCTTGCTCCTCCTCAAGACCGTATGCGATGAATCAGGAGATGACTTCTCATTCAGGATAGTTCCCCGTTATTGGGCGTGTCATGAGCTCTCACTTTGTGCCCAAGGTTTGGCGTTTCGCTGAAAGGCTGCTGGGCAGCAATCCAGAGGGTGGTGGGGCTGAACCTTTAGGGCAGGCTGTAGATTCCTTTGCAGTCTTAAATCCTGTCTAATCCCAAATTCGGTCCGCACCTGAAGAAGCCTGAAGGTAAGACCTTCTGGAACACACCACGAGCATCATTCAGCAGTGAGAGGTCACAAGAAAGTTAGAATTACATCTTTTTTTCTTCACCTGATGAATAGTCTCAGTTCAGATCAGACTGTAACAATGGGTTCTTTGGGTAAAAGGATGCTACTTCTCAGCTTTGGTTTTCCAGTTTTGGAAAGATGGCATGTTGCACGTAGCCAATTTATTTAGGAATTAAAAAGGCCTACAAAGAATAATATTGCCTAAGAGATAAAACATCCAGCAGTTTTTCCGGAGATTGGAGTCACCTAGAGGGCTGCAGGTTGGGGGAGTTGGTACAGAGAAAACATCCCATAACGTTTATGCAACAAACCCACCAAAACAGAGGCAGCACTAAATCAGGCAGGCAAGAATGATCAAATCTCAGGCCATTCTTTTCTAAATTGCTAAATTATCTCTTGCCTGACCAGTTAAACCACAAGCCAGTTTAGCTGTTCACCAATGGGGCAGTCATAAAGAATCCTCAGTGTAGAAAAAAGACCACCTCTTTAACTACTGTGTTTTAAATAAATAAATTTAAATAAACTTTTAAAAATTTCTTCCTAAAGTACAGTAATCTTAAACAAAACGATGGCCAAAGAACAGAAGAAATCTCCAGACTGCAAAACCCACTCCTTGGAATGTATGTATCTTACACTGATTTTTTCTCAGGATTTAAGACTTTTTAAAAGACTTTGGAGAAACTCTGGATTTGGGCCAATCTTCCAAAATATATATTGCAGTAGTCAGAAATACAAATAAAACCTCAGAACAGTTTTCACAAATAATTTTAGTGGCGGTAGCCTGTTACCAAGTTATATTTCATTAACCCACATATGCCTTTAGGGAAGTGGCATGAAAAAGAATAATCTTCCCCCTCCCAAGAGACAATTTTTTTTGCTGTACCCAGAAGAATGGTGGTGGGTTTTTTTTTCTTTAGCAGTGAAATACCTTTTTCTTCCAAACATCCAGCTTGCTCTATCCATCATCCTCTTTAGAGAACACATTTCTCTTTTGGCTCAATCCTTTTCCATGATTTCCTGTTTCACTCCTATTTCCTGGCCCTCTTCTTGGGGCAGGGGGCAAGTAAAGTCTGTTTCTGCATCTAATTAATCCAGTTTTGATTAAACCTATCATTAATATACAAGTTGCAATGTATATGTGTGCACATATTTTCAAAGCTAAGCAGGGGGATTCCTAAGGTATAGGCCACATTCAGAAGTCTAGAAATCATCCAGGAAGAAGGCAAGGGCAAACCATTTTCATATTTTTGCTAAGAGAACTGAAAGTACAGTATCCACAAAGTAATCAAGGATCCAGCTTGACTCGAAGGACACTTTACTTCTGACAAACGTATACACTGACAGGCATCAATTCCAAGATGGCCTTTTCCAATTCACGCCATTGGTTTTGTTTAAGAATGTTTATAAATATTTTTTGTTATTAAATGAATAACATTGATTAAAGATTCTAATAAAAAATGTGCATGGCAAAACATCCTCTTTTGCTACAGTGTTCCATAAGTTAAATATCTCCGTAGTTAGAAAAGATCTCTACAAGTTTTTACTAAACACTGGCCTAATTTCAGGGACTGGGCAGAAGAAGAATCTTTCTTCCATCTCCCCCACTTCTGCCTACAGCAGTGTTGTCCAAACTTGGCCACTTTGAGTGGACTTCAACTCCCAGAATTCCCCA